TTGGAGAGGGAGATAGAAAAGGCTTACCTCTGAGGGAGGGGGATAGAGCAGAACATTACTCTGTGAAATGATACCAGGATCACAATAACTCTTTAAATGACTGGCTTACATTTTCAGTTGTTTAGTTCATTATGGTCAGAGCAGGAAGCATGGCCACATAAGGCAGACATGGTACTGGAGAGGTAGCAGAAAGTTCTATTTCTGGATCAGCAGGCAATAGGAAGAGGGAGAGATGTTGGGCCTGGCCTGAGCATTTGGAACCCCTAAATTCACTCCAGACACACCTCCTAATCACTATCAAGTAATACAACTCCTCAATGAGCAAGCACTCAAATATATGAGTCTATAGGGACATTTTTATTCAACCTACCAGAAGTCCTAAGCAAGTACTCTGGATCCCACACTCTACCTTTCAGAGTCCACATCTCTCATCTATTCCCTGTCCCAGTCTTCCTTCCAGTTTCCTGTCTAGCTTTTCCAGTTCACATAGAAAGATCTATTTTTAATAGTCCTTCAGATACTTTCAGCTTTACTTTTTAGTTGTCTTCTCTACTCATATTCAAAATATGGCAACCATCATAAGAAGGAAGTTAGTATCTGTCTTAATTAGTGTTTCCATTGTTGGGATATAAGAGCATGGCCAGAAGCAACCTGGGGAGGAAAGGGTTTGTTTCATCTTAAAGCTTGCTGTCCATCGTCCAGTAAAGTCAGTGCAGGAACTAAAAAGAAGCAGAGGTCATAGAGGAATATTGCTTGCTGGCTTGCTGTCATTTCTTGTTCAGTTTGGCTTTTCATAGTATCCAGGACCACCTGTCCAGGGGTAGCATGATCCACAATGGGCTGGGCACTCCCACATCGATCATTATTTAAGAAAACACATTATATGTTTGTCTACAGGCCAGTCTTATTGAAGTATTTTCTCAACTGAGAGTCCCTCTTCCCGAATGACTCTAGTTTGTGTCAAGTTGACATAGAACTAGTAAGCACAGAATCTATTTGGCCCTTGCTATAATGTGGATCCTAAGAACCACTTATCTGCAGGTGAATTTACTCTCTGCCTTTCAGAATTCAGTCCTTTTTCCACTTGAGGCATTTTTCAAATGCTCCGTGGTAAGCTCCAGCTGTGGTTTTAGCTTCCCTGGTTTTTATTCCTCTATTCTAATCTATGTGACCTTGTGAAGCTCTGTTAATTCCACTTTCCCTTAGACCAATCCTTCCAATCCTTCCAATCCTTGACAAACGCGTTCTTTAAACCTTGCTGAGACCTAGTAAATGCCCACAGGGAAGGAAACAACCTGAATTCCTGGCTGGCTCACAAGTGCTCCTCCTCTTCTTGAGTTTGGTGCATAAAATCCCCTTGTCTTTGCAGCTCTCCAATAATCTTAAACTAGGAATAAAATGTTACCAAGTTGATACATCAGTAACAGTTTTGAGATAAAAAGCAATTTATAAATAAATAGTCTCTGTCAGTATTATTCAAAGGTTAAATTGCCAGAACAATCCAGTCTTAGTTGCAAAGGCACAGCTGCACACATAGGTAAAGGGAAGATTGACGGAACTCACAAGTACTGAGGCATTCATTACATTCACCTAATTAGGTAGGTGCAGTTTAAATGTTGGAATCTCACAGGCCATCCCGCAGTGCTATATTTCAAGAGAAAGCAATAAATAGCCTAAGTAACAAATGTAAAGAATAAAAAGCTTCCTTTTTTCCCTCTGCCAGCCACCATCAGATGTGCTGAAATGGCTGATACAAGTACATTGAGGAGCTATGGAGAAAGAAAGAGTCCTATGGGGTGCTTCCCCCGCAAGAGTTTCTGATGGCAGTAACACTAGGTCTCTGGGCTCAGCGGGGCTGTCTGCACCACCCAGCCTGAAAACTAAGAATAGAAGCTCGAGCAGTCATGTAATATAAGGATTGGTATGCATCCTAGTGGCCAGTTTCTCAGGGTGCAACTTGTCTATCATGGTGTTAACCTGCTGACTTTGCCCAAAGCCATTTCAGCTCATTTCAGAGAAGAGAGACTGACACTGCTGTGGGATGCTGAGGGTCTTGGGTTCTTACTGGGTTCATGAGGCTTCCACGTGTATATTTTTTTGAGTTCATCCTCACAAATCCATTCTATAAAGCTCCCAGAAGAAATCCTGGATCGCAGAAGCAGTCCACAGCACAGGTGGATATAGATTACTCAAGTCCAATTGCCAATTTGTTACAGCATGAGAGCCAGCTCATGGGAGAGATGCTCAGTTGAGTCTTTAGCTGGGTTGAGGGTACTAACAGTGAAGTCAGTGCTGGTGATCACGGGTTTGGAAGATCAGAACCCATGCACACTTCCACATGGCTGGGGCCAGATCATACAGGAAATTCCATATGTCAGAGTCACAGCAAACACTGGAATTTGAAAATTCTTATTTTGGATGACACTAGGAACTGGCACCTGGGGTTGTAAAGTGAGCAGCTTTAGCGATTCTGAATATGAGTATTTTCTCATGGTTTTGAACTAGAGAGTACCGAATGATGTCACAAAGTTTATGAAGTGGTTTGTACAGAGTGCTAGCAGGTTGACTCCCTTACCTGCAAGGTGGTTGAAGCCAGTGAGTTTGTTTACTTCCTGGGATGGAATTGTTTGTCCTCTCTGTTTGCAGATTAACATACTAGAGGGATTTTCTACCAATGTCCAACTAGCATCTCTTTTCTGATGTGGGGGTCTCATTGAAGGCTTCAGCATGGCCATCCTGATGAAGATGGTGACTGTGATGGTAGTGGTCACAGTAAACCCCAGCATGCCACCCTAAGAATCTTACAAATATTAACTGTACCAGTGCTTGGTGGGGTCCTTGACTTTCGGAGGTGGAGGTCAGGAGCTTGACATTCACTTTTTTAAAAATCAGACCTCTCAAATCTCTCATATGCTCTCTCATTTCTGCTTTTGTCTGCCGTCCCTGGGAAGAGTTTCCACCAGTTCTGCCAGTCTCCTCACTAGCGTGAAATGTTAATGTTCTCTGCTTCTTTGAAAGGGTAGCGTTTAAGCCTATGACCTAGATTTTTGCCCTAGTTTTAAAAGAAAATGAGATCAGGAAAATGAGAATCAGATATTTTTAGCTTTTTGTGTTGGAAAGGAAATTCAACTGATACATGACCAGGGTTCAAATAGTAGGCTTGGTGTTGTCAACTTGGCACAATCTGGAATCACATGGGAAGACAGTCTCAATAAGGAATTGTCTAAACTGGGATTGCCTGTTAGGTCTGTGAGGGAAATACTTAGTTGGATCAATTGAAGCAGAAAGACCCAACCTTAATGTCGGCAGCACCATGTCCTGGGCTGGACCCCGGGCTGAATGAAAAGGAGAGTGGGCTCCACTCTGGCAATCATGCGTGCACTTAGTCTGTCTCTCTCTTCTGGACTGTAGATGCATCTAGTTGCCTCAAGTTAACTCAGTGACTTCCCAGAAGTGGGGACTGTTAGCTGGGACTGTAAGCTGAATAAAATCCTAAGGATCACAAGAAAGGTGGCATGTTCTTATGCACATGGGATTCTTTTCCTGCCTTGCTTCTCAACTCATTCAGGGCACTAAATACTGGAATAACTACATTCTTGCTACTAGGCAGAGTTCCACATTAAACATACTAAGCGTTGTTTGAGGATAGTTACTTAACAATTAATACGTTGTTCAGGTAAGATGCAGACTAAAGATAATAAGATAAGTCAGGTTAATAAACAAGCAGCGCATAAGTTTTCTGGTAAGCACAACTAGATTTTTCTTTCTCTGTAGGAAAAGCACCAACAACTTCTCTAGTAACCTAAACTCTGTTTGGTTAGCCTTGTGTTTGAACTTACATTGAATTAGTATTTTTCTAGAATGGTAAGGTACATTAGTGTTTCTGTACAGTCAAGTCTTCGTGTTTTACTTTTGTAGACCTGTTTTGTCCTTGTACTATCTCTATGATTTATACAATTATTTTCATTTTATTAAACAGCCAGAGGGTCACAAAGTTGAGTAGTTAGTTTAAGTTCACACAGCAAACAAGCATCAGATAGTTAACCAAAATACTCCCTTGTATTTCAGTAAATCATTAAAACTTATACATTTTAGTGTTTTATCATTTTTATGTGTGTGGGTATTTACATGATGTATGCCTATACATCATGTACATGCCAGGCACCCAGAAAGGCCAGAAGAGGTGTCAGATCCCCTGGAACTAGAGTTACAGATGATTGTGAGCCACTGTGTGGGTGGTGAGATTCGAACTTGGGGCCTCTGGAAGCTTTTCTATTGCTCTTAATCACTGTGCCATCTCTCCAGCCCCCAAATGTTTTAGTTTTTTAATGCATATGGTAGGTGAATTGATTTAAAAAATAATATAGCATACAAAATAATTTGTGCAGAATTTTAAAAAAAGTTTTCATTGAGATAATTAGGTAATACTTTAAGGCATTAATTATGCACCTAGTACATGACATTTGTATTTTAGTTTAGAATTATTGTCATAATTAATATGTGGTTCATATTGATTAAAATGCAAATGTAGCTGCATATCATATAAAGAACAGTAAATGATGAAAGCAGAAGCTTTCCAACTTAATTGGAACCTATTAAAAATGAAAGAAGCAGCCTCATTTTGCAAACAAGTCAAGTATGCTGGTTCAGAATAGTAAGGCAGGGATAGCTTTACTGTCTATGAAAACACATCCTCATTGTTCTGAGTCTTGTATAGAATTCAGTGTTCATCATTAAAGTTGAATATGGGCATCTGATCAATGTCATGAGGTCTACTCTTTAAAGTATTCTGAACTTAATTTCATGATTCTATTTTCTTTACTTTTGGATAATGGGTTTTAATTGTATTATAAAGATGATTACAATTTCTGTTTGCAATTAAAGACATTTTCATATATTTCTAAGCAGTGCTTTTGCTAAGCGTGAACACTCATCTAGCATGTAGCTGGATGTCTTTCATATAAAGTGTGCCCATGCTCATCTCTCACGTTTCTTTCTAGATGATGCCAGCTCCAGGCAGCTATGATGTTCAGAAATCGTATGACATGTCCCAAGTTAAGCACAACTACATGCCACCTCGTAGTGCAGTGGCTCAAAAAAAGCATTCTTCGTTCTTGAGTGCAACTCCTCGGTGCCTGGGGAAAGTCGATGATGGGCCAGGTAAGGATGACTGTTCTTTGAGGCTGAGGAGAAGCCACAGTTTCATAGTGAATGGGTGACTACAGTCACTTCACGGATGGTAGTACTTAAAGTACACAGACTCCCCTCCAAAGGAAAACAGGGAAGAGTGAAAAATGTGAGACTTTTTATTTTCAAATGTAAAATTTGTCTAAGGTTTATGTCTCCTTATTCTTCCAAAGACATTTTATTAAGATAATAAATTCATCTGGCATTCGGTTTTGTGAAAAACACAAAACTCTTAGCACATAAGACGTTATTAAAGGAGAAAGTCACTTTTCTCCAATTTGGAAATCAATATAATAAAAGAAATACATGCCAGTTACATAAACTTATTGGGTACTCTTGAATGTCAAGAATGCAGTCTCAAAGTTAGCTTTGTCAACTTATTGAAATTGTGAAATGCCCAAGGCATTGGTGAAGCACATGTGTAGGTGTATGTGTGTGTTCTCAGACAGGATTACCTGAGGCAGGAAGGCCTGCCATGATGAGGATGGTGGCCTCTGAGAGGCTGAGGCACTGGGATGGATGAAGATGAAAAAGGAGAATGTCAGCTGAATACTGGCCTTTTCTGTTTCCTGGTCCAGGGAGATGAGAGCATGTGTTCTCATGTGCGGTGGATAGGAGCTGGTCCTGTGACCATGCCTTCCCTACTATCATGGGTTGCATTGCCCAAAACATGAACCCAAGTAACCCTTTTCCCCTTAAATTGCTTATTGTCAGGATTAGGTCACAGTAATGAGAGAAGTGACTAGTCCAGCAGTGAATATACAGAGAAATAATATTTGAAAGTTGAGAGTTATAAAAATGATTTAGCCTGACCTCACTGCAGACAGAGTCTGTGCACTCACCCAAGATCAAGAGCCAAGTGAGTGTCTCAGTCTCATACTGCCACTGGAGCAGTGGTGACATCCAGACTCAGCTGCTGCTAAAGACCATGTTGGGATTCGTGGACCTACCACAGCTGGGGGTCTGACCTGAAGTCTGGGATCTTCACTGCCACTAATGGTCCCATAGAGGCTCAGGGTTGAGGTCACAATCTGAGTCCTTGGTGGTGTCTGGTGACCACACAACTGCTGGAATCATTCCCAGCTGAGTGACCGCTCCCTCCACCCAGAGTCAGGATGTCCTCTGGGCCTCAACTGCTACCAAGGACCATGTCTGGGTTTATGGTCCAGCCGCAGCTGGTGTCTCTGTTGATGTCTGTGGCCAGTGGCACCTCAGGAGGCCTTAGGAATCATGCGAGATGGCAGGGGCTATACTCAGCATCCCCACCGTTTACTGCTCTGGGAAAGCTGGTGTTACCTCTGCTGCACTTCAGCAAGACAGCCGACCCCTGCACTACTGCTGCATTGTCAAGCTTCAGCTTTGCTCTACGTCAACATTAAAAATGCAGCTGGTAGTGGTGATGCTTCCTAACTGATTAGTATGAAAAAGTTCTTTCTTTTGATATATTTATCATTATTGAAGGAGCCCCTGCACAGAAGGGGTTTCCTCCCAGACACCAGCTTAAGCACAAACCACACTTAAAACACCTGTTTTCACAGAGAGATCTTTCGTGAATCAGAAAAAAAAGGTTAATGTGGTTACTTTCTGGTTCAGGCAGAAAACAACAGCAAATGACCTTGCCGGTGTAATTTTTAAGAGGATGAAAAAGAGAAGTCTGTGTTAGAACGAACTAAGATGTGACGTAAAGGAGATAGAGGATGAGGGAGAAGGGGAAGGGGACAAGGAAAAGGGAGAAAGGGTATTTGTCCCAGAGGACAGAAGACTGCCTCTGGGCAGAGAGGAGACAGACATAGCATATAAGCAAACGGCTATTTATAAGGCAAAAGGGGAAACCTCGTGTTAGGATGAGGTGTTTTAATCTTATTTGGACATGTTTATTAGGTGAACCAAAGGGGGCTTTGGTAGTCAGTCTCAGGAGGAGGAAGTGGTCAAATAATGGAATAGATCTCTGTGGCTAGCTTTAGGAATATAGTCTAATGGTTTTAGCAAGGCAGAGGGGACTGGGGAGAAGGGCAAGACCTGCCAGAGCCATGCTTGGTACGCTGGAACTTGCCAGAGTCCCTTCAGTCCCCATCTACGTATTTTCTGATGTAACTACCTCATTTCTACTTGCAGTTCTGAATAGGTCTAACCTTTGCCAGAGACAAACAAATATATTTCATACTTTTCAAGAATAGTAACTTTACAGTAAAGCATAATGATAAGCGTTCAGTTTGTTTCACGTCCCATGTCAGTGTTTGTTTTATGAATGAATGGTGTCCTTTCATATCACACACCTGTTAGAAAGAAAGTAGTGACAATTGTTTATTCTGATTGCTATTTAGTCATTGGTAGTTTTGTTTTACTTACTTAATTAAAAAGCTATTCTTATTTTATGTACATGTGTAAGTGCCTGCATGCATGTCTGTGCACCTGGTGTGTTCCTGGTGCCCATAGAGGCAAAGAAGGGAATTGGATCCCTGGAGTTGGAGTTACAGGTAGTTGTGAATTGGTGGTTGTGGGTTCTTGGAACTGAACCTAGGTCCTCTGCAAGAGCAATAAATGGTTTTAACTGCTGAGCCAGCTCCCTAGCCCCTTGTTTTACTTTAATACGTCTGAAATGGACCTTTTCATATAAATAAAAAATTCATTATATGTCAAAAAATTTTATGGTACTATGTTATATGTAGAAATGAAACTGTAGGACTATTTAAGTTTAAGAATATGGGATGCTTATTTGCTATGATTATTTTGAGGGCTATGCTTTTTAGAATGAAAGAATAGATTTTATTATCTTTTTTTACTTTTAAATAAAATTGAAAATTAAAACCAATTTCTTGGCTTTTTATATTTGTAGATAAAGATTTAAGAACAGAAGTTGGTAAATAGATGAACAATCTTCTAAGATTCACAGATTTATAAAGTATTTATCTACTGACTCGGCATTTTATTGCCGTGTTTTTATTTTAAATGGCTTTAACACTTTAACAGGTATGGAAGGATTTTGTCTTAATTACAAAGGAAGGCTTTCCTTTGACTGCATATATTTAAGAAAGATAAAACTCATTTTCATTAGTCTAAATTAAACAGGGAGAGAGTATATTTGCAATCAGTATGCTGTATTCCATTAAATGTTGTGTAACCAATAAAAACACATTAGAATCATTTAATGAAGAAATTATTAAATGAGGTGTATCACATTATAAAGCAATCTCCTTTTATTACCCCAAGTTTTAATTCATGGGTATGTAAATGATTTTGTGATTGATCCAACTCAGGTAATGTGAAATTGCTAAGTGGAAAAGTACTTAAATATTACTTTACCTCTTATATTGACCTGCTTTGGAACATTTAGTAGGGAGAATGCCTAGCAATTTTAAAGAGAAAGTGGGTGGTGAAAACATTGTTGAGAGTAGAAAGTTGGAGAGTCTCCTTAGAGGTGGCTGTGTAATAAACTAGCAGTCTTCTTCAAGGACAAGTTGGAAGAAAAGTTCAAATATATATGTCTGACCCCAGATTCTGTTTCTAAGGTCATCCTAGTGGAGTTGTCAATGGCCAGCACTTGTAGCACTAGTGATGGCAGTTACCAAATTAAAGTTTAATTCCTAAAAGAAAAGCGAGGTTCAGTTGACTTGAGTGTATATNNTATATCAGCTAAGTGAATGAGCCAGATGGGAAAGTGCATGAGAGACAGAAGAAATGATGCAGTCAGAGAGACATCACATCTGTGCGGAGAGGTAGGAGATGCAGAGGAGTTGGTTCAGAGTGAGATGTGAGTCCTTTAGATAGTGATATGGAAGGAAGCCTCACCGCAAAAGCAACTTTTGAGTAACTCCAAAAGGCTCACTTTTGAAAAAGTTTGTTTTTCTTTTTCTTTTTCTTCATCAATCTAAGAATAGTTTCTCATGTCAGCAGGATAGCTCAACAAGTAAAATCATTTGCCCAGTAAGACTGTGACCTGAATTCTGTCTCCAGATTCCAGGTAAAGGTGGAAGGAAAGAACCACCTCCACAAGTTGTCTTCTGACCTTCACATATGACCCCACACTCACATCAGACAAACACGCACAAAGATTAAATTAAGAGTTTTTTTCTTAAAATCTTGAAGAAAAATTAAATGCCTTAATTTCAAAATAAAAAAAAATCAATCTATAGTTCTTTCTTTTCTTAGATAGGGTTTTGCTGTTAGCCCAGATGCCTTAAAAATCACACACTCAAAACCCTCCTGGTTAAGTTCCCAGAGTGTCTGAGAAAACACATATGTTCCTTTATTCCTTTGTTTTGGTTTATTTCTCCTTATCATGACATGCAGCCCAGAGCTGCCTCAGACTGGAGATGCTCATGGCTTTGTCTCCTCAGTGCTGCAATTGTCAGCATGTATCATGGTACTCAGGATATTTACATTTTTTAAATGATTATTATTACATTTTATTAATTGTAATCATCAGTGTGTTTGTGTGTGTGCGCGTGCGTGCATGTGTGTGCGTTCTCACATACTCTTGCCACAGTGTGCAGCTTGCTAGAATCAGTCTCTTTCTACTGTTTGTTTTCTGGGATTGAATTTAGTTTGTCATGCTTGTGCTCTTTCCCACTGAGCCATCCTTTTTCATTCTTTGTCTCATCTGTCCACACCTATCTATTGTATTTTACCTTCATAGAGTTATCCATCCCTCCTCCCTAGACCCTTACTCTATACCTAACCTCTTTGGTTATATGGATTGTAACTTTCTTATCGACAACTAAACAGGTAGAACTTGTCTTTAGGTATTGGGAGCTTACAGGTGGGGTCAATGATAAGGATGGTCTGGAAGGGGGATGCCGAGAAGGCCCACAGGAAGGAGGAAAACTGGGTGTGCCACTGTGAGCTACACAAACCCCCTCTCTGTAGCAGGCAGTGAGCTCCAGAGCTGGAGGTAACTGGTGGATGGAGTGGAGGACAGGAAGGAGAGTGGATACGACTACACTGCCTGGGAGATGTGACCCACGGGTTTCCAG